TGATATTTTCTCAACAATTTACAGTTCTTTGTCATTTAAATTCAACTCAACTCTTATTTGCAAAACCCAATCTGTTTAATATACTTAGTAAGCATAATTGGGAATTTTCATTGAAATTGTTCCTCGTGGGATCGACTTTTATTTTATCGAAATACTATACTGCGATTGATAATTTTGGTACGCTTGCCAATAATTCAACAAATCTCCCCCTTAACAATTGCTCAACAGGAATCGAACTCGTGACCTTGACTCTGATACCAATTGTTAGGATCGAGCGCTTACCACTAGGCCAAAAGCTATAGCTATTAGTCAGAGCGCAACTCTTTTTACTTAAGAGTAACAGCCCAAGCGCCACGATTCGATTGTGACTCGGCCCACCTGGCCTCCGCCACAGGACAATTGATGCTACCTGCAACAATTATATCCATGAGAACATAAAAACTCTGACAACTTAGAGTACCACTGCCTACTCGCCTGCTTAAGGCCATACAATGATTTATGGAGATGACAAACAAGATTTTTATCATGACTATTGGTACCAGGAGGCAAATGCATGTAAACTTCCTCATCTAAGTCACCATGCAAAAAGACATTGTTAACATCTAATTGTTTTAAGTGCCAATTATGAATGGAAGTCAAGGATAGAAGTAACCTAATAGTTTTTATTTTTGCAATGGGTGAAAAGGTGTGCAAGTAATCAAGTCCCTCTTTTTGGGTATATCCCTTTGCTACAAGACGCGCCTTATAGTGTTCTATGCTCCCATCGGCTCTGTATTTGACTTTATATACTCACTTGCATCCAATTGCATGTTTCCCTTTTGGTAAAGGAGTCAAAGTCCAAGTTCTTTTTTGCTCTAGAGCAGCCAGCTCTTCAGCCATAGCTTTCTACCAATGCTCATGTTGAGAAACAATCTCATAGGAATCAGGTTCCTCATGAGAATCAATGGAACAAACAACCTGTTTAAAAGAAGGAGATAATCTTGCAAGGGAAACATAAGCATTAATGGGGTACTTAGGCCTTTTCTCAGATTTAGTTATAAAGGAAGTCTGAAAGTCTTTTAAATAAGCAGGAGCAGTTTTGTACCTAGTAGATCTTCTAAGAGAAACTTCTTCTGTACCAGAATTAAGGCTTTGTTCAACATTAGAAGTGTCAGACTCACAAAAACTAGTATTGTTTATATTACTTTGATTATCAACAGTGAACTCCGTATTGTAATTATCATTGAATGTACTAGGTTGGGAAGCAATAAAGTCCAGATCATACTTGTTTGTTTGCTCAGGAACATAAGTAACTATATCATTTTTAGAAAGTTTTTCATGAATCTTATTTTTGAAAGGAAATTGATTTTCATAGAAAATGACATTTCTAGAAACATGGATGCAATGAGATTTTAGATCATACACAACATAACCTTTAACATTTGGTTTCAAGCCGAGAAACAAACCTGATCTTGCTCGAGGGTCAAGTTTTGTCCGATTGGCAGAAATGGTTGAGACGTAACACAGACAGCCAAAACACGCAATTTGTTTATATCAAAGGGATGACCATACAAAATCTCAAATGGACTAGAATTTTTAAGAAAAGGAGTAAGCAAACAATTTATCAATGTGACAACATATTGAATAACATAATTCCAGAAATTTTGAGATACTTTTGACTGAAATAAGAGTGCGCGAGTAACATTTAAGATGTGTTGATGCTTCTTTTCAACCAAACCATTTTTTTCAGGAGTTTCTATGCAACTAGTTAGATGGATGATTCCTTCAGTGTTGAAAAATTTGCATCATGTTAAACTCTAATCCATTATCAGTCCTAATTATCTTAATCTTTTTCTGAAATTGTGTTTTGACTATGGAAACAAAACTGACTATGTAATCACGAGTCTCAACTTTATTCTTCATGACATACAACCAATTAAACCTTGAGTGATCATCCACAATAGTAAGGAAATATCTATCACCATTCATGGAATTAATGGCACACGGGCCCAAATATCCATATGTATCAAATCAAAAATAAAAGTTGCACATGATGTACTAATGGGAAAAACAAGCTTTCTCTGTTTAGATAAATGACATATATCACAGTGTGAAGTATAAGGAGGAATAACATGAGGAAACCTTTTGTTGAGAATAACCATTCTTTGGCGAGAAGGGTGACCAAGCCGCATATGCCAAATATCTTTATTCACGATACTGTTATAGGTTTGTGGAAAGGAGTTGTCTTTGACTTCAGTATTGCCCCTTATCACATACAGATCCAATTGAAGATCAGTTGTACCAATCTTCTTGATGGATGTCTTGTCCTGGATAATACAGGCATTAGTACTAAAGGTAACAGTGCAATCAAAATGAGAAACTAATTTAGAAATAGAAATCAAGTTATATGAAAAGGTGGGAATAAAAATAACATCTTTTATGTATAGATCTCCAAAGATTTTAGCAATTCCTGAATGAGTAGCTTGGACTTTAGTCCCGTCAGGAAAACTAACATTTATAGGTAAAATTTGTTTGGAAGAAACCAAATTTGAAAGAGAATAACATATATGATCGGTAGATCCCGAATCTATAATCCAATCATTATGGCTATTGAAACTAATTAAAGAGACACAAGTGTCCTTACCTTTATTCATGCTGCAAGAAACAATAGGACCAACCTGATTGGCAGAAACATTATCACTATTATTACCACTGGTTTGCTTCAGTAAATTTATCAGGGCTTGATACTGTTGTTGTGACAATCTGAAGTCATGATCTTCCCCAACAGACTCATTCTTTGATTCTTGGGTAGTGTCAACGTTATTCACAGTGTTACTCTTCCAATTGGTCTTATATCCAGGAGGAAACCCATGCTTCTTATAACAATTATCAATGGTATGCCCATTCCGACTGCAAAAAGAACAAACCTTCTTGACATACCTAGTGTTCTTACTATCAGTGTTGTTGTTGTTAGGAAACCCATGTTTTAAAAAACAAACAGATTCGGTGTGACCAATCTTCTTGCAATGACTACAGGTAACAGTGGTACTATTGATTTTAACTTCGGCTCCACTTAAAAAATTATTTCCCCCAATCTGTCTTTCTTGCTGAACCACATAGGAAAAAAATCTTTGATATAGGCGGAATAGGATCCATCATTAAAACATGTGAGGTGACGTTGGCGTATTGCTCGTTCAACCCCCTTAGAAACTGCATAGTGTGATATTCTATTTTCCTCTGATGAAAGACATTAGTCAGATTACAAGAACACTTAGCAGAACAATTGCAAACCAAATCTAGGCGAAAACTTTCTAATTCATCCCAAAGCACGTGCATCTTGGTAAAATATTCAATCACAGAGACATTTCCCTGTTTAAGAGAGGAAGCCTCTGATGGTAACTCAGATATACGAAGTAAATTTCCTTGAAAGAACCTGGATTTGAGATCTTTCCATATATCTTCAGAATTGTCCATCCACAATATGCTTTGTCTGATTGAGGGTGAAACAGAATGAATTAACCAGGATACAACCATGTTATTACATCTCTTCCACGCTTGATATGTGGGATCAGTCTTGGTTTGTTCAGAAGCAATACCATCAATAAATTCTATCTTATTTTTTGCACTGAGAGCAGTAGCAAACGACTTGTTCTAAGAATGATAATTGTGTGATTCCAAAATAGGAGAAACAAGGGAAATTGTTGGATTCTCACTAGGATGGAGATAGAGAAAACTATGTGGAGCGTTAAAATCATTAATCCCAGCATTATTTTTCGATTCATATGATGCAGACATGGAAGGAAAAAGGAAAAAAGAAGAAGAAAAAAAACGAATCAAGAAGAGAGGAAAAGAAAAGAAAAACTGAATCACAAAGAAAAAGAAAAAGAAAAGGAAAAAAATCAGAGTGATGCGCAACTTGAAGAGCTCTGATACCATCTTAATGAACCTGGATGCAATGCAGAGAAGAACTAATGACATTTATGGAAGCTGAATTTGAAGATTATCCACGAGAGAGAAGAGAAAAAGAGAAAGTGAAAGTTTTGATTGATTTCAAAATGATTACAAAGAAAGGGTATTTATCTTTACCATTACAAAAAAGAAAAAATCATGACAGTTGGAAGAAGTTTTTATTATAACTGTTGGATAAATTTTGTGGATTACTTTGGCATGAATAGGTTTTTAAAATACAAATGGTAAGAAATAAATAAATTTATAGTAGTGTAAAAGAATAAAAATCTACAAAATTATAAATGATTGAAAATTGTGCTTCTAAGAGAGAAATATGGATAAGAAATTATATTAAGTATTCAATATTTATTATCTACCACAAATAATACATTGAAAGTTTTTACAAATATAAAGGCTTTTATCGAAGAAGATCAAGAGGAAATAATAACTATTTAAAGTTATAATAATAGCCGTTATTTTTTGAAAATTTATAAATAAAAGAGAATAACAGTGAAAAAAATATTGAGTCCTAGTTCAATCCACTTTGTAAACAATAAAATACATCCTCTTCAACAACATTAAACAAAAAATTATAATATCTTTCACCTAAATATGAGTATATACATTAGTTATTTAGAGCATACAATTTATTTTCTATATAATTTCGATGAGATTATAAAAATACACTAAAATATAATTTTCTTTTTATCTTGTTTTAGACATACCTCTCTATCTAAAATTTCAAACTCTGCAGAGTAAAAATGGTACGTATCCTACACTACTTTTTTATATATGCACTTTTTTTTTCTCCCTCACCAAATTCACCAAAAATCTGTCATCATTCACAGCATTAATGTTCACAGTCATTCTGTTGGACTTCGACCTAACTGCTTCGTTAAAAGATACGTGTGGCCTCTGACGAGAGAACAAGTAAGAAGGAACCGTGAGTTTTTGTTACAGAGTGTCTCTAGAATTCAACGCACGGCACCGATCAACTCTTCAACCACTCAATTTTTTAGTCTCTCTCTTTAGAGTCTTTCCTTTTCGCAGTTGCAAAATCTGTTGAGGATAAGATGACAGAGATCACAAATCTAAGCTCTGACCTGATAGAGCTGATCCTGTCTCTGCTCCCAATCCCCACCCTAATCAGAGTCTCCACTGTGTGCAAGCTATGGCACTCCATCATCTCCTCCCCTTCCTTCTCCACACTCTCCAATCACTCCAACCAGCCATGGTTCTTCCTCCATGGTATCCACAACATCTCCTCCAAGAACAACCAGTCCTTCGCCTTTGACCCTTCCTCCAACTCCTGGTTCCTCCTCCCCACCCCCCAACACCACCACCAACACCAACACCAACCCAACACCTCCTTCATTGGCACCAACTCCTTCTTTTTCATCACTTCTCCCAACTTCCTCTACACCCCCATCCTCCACCCCTCCTGGCACCCCACCCCTCCCCTCCACTTCCCCAGGATCAACCCACTCTTGGGTGTCTTCCATGATGCCAAAGATAGCACCATTAGTCACCCCAAGTTCATTGTTGTCGGTGGGGTAAAGTTCATTGGGAACCTTGTTGACATAGAGGACCGTTTGGATGTGGAGATTTATGACCCTCTTCTGGAGTCTTGGGAGCTTGGCCCTCCTCTCCCTGCTGATTTCAGATCAGGAAACTCCTCCTCTTCCCTCTCGTCTGCCCTCTTCAATGGGAAATTTTATGTCTTTGGGATATACTCTTGCTTTGTTTCGTCCTTTGACTTGCATCATAGGGTTTGGAGTGAGGTTCGCACCCTTAGGCCTCATGGGGTTGTGTTCTCCTTCTTGATTGCTTGTAGGAAGATGCTTGTCCTTGCTGGGGTGTGCAATTTTCCCCATGGATCTTCTTCCTTTGTGCTATGGAAGGTTGATGAGAGGACCATGGGGTTCAGCCAGATTGCTTTGATGCCACATGATTTACTCTGTAGCTTGTTTGATGGTGATGAGGATGATAAATTTGCAAGCTTGAAGTGTGTTGGGTTGGGGGATCTTATATATGTTTTCAATGAGGATTACCACAGGATGTACCCTGCTTGTGTGTGTGAGATTGATGGGGAGAGTGGGAGGTGTGTGTGGAGGAGAGTACCCCCGTTGCCATCACTGATGAACAGGTTTCACAAAGTTATTAGCTTTTGTTCAACTGTTTCACCGCATAGTATTCTGCGTGAACGTCAAGGCCGTGGTCTTCGATACTAGGTATCTTTGTTTCTGGACATTACCAATTTCGATTCGTAGTTTTTGTTTTTGTTTTCTGTCATGTTCTGTTTTATGAATAATTGTACTGGCTTTTGATTATGAAAGTAAACTAAATGAGTTTTCTTTTGTCTTGTTTGTTTTACAATATTTCTTTTGGTGCCTTTTAATCATGAAATTATGAATAGTCCCAATTATCTTATCATCTCTTTGGTTGATAATCTCTTGGGTCAATTATAGATAAGTTTCATATTGCTTGACTTGAGGGTAATGTATACCAAATGATGGCTATTGCTATGAATGAATATTTATGTATTTGTGCCTTGTTTACCAATTCTGGTGCAAGTAAAAGTTAGGAAAGGAAAAACTTTGTTGATCTTTTGCATTTATCTGTTTAACATGTTATGGGTCTGAAAAAATGCTAGCTGAACTGACATATTTAGCAGTTTAGCTGCATTGTTAGACTAATTAGCATTACGAAATATTTAGTTTTATAATTAGACTTATTAGATCAAGCACGTAAACATTGTTAAAATTTTTGAAACTGATAAATTTGTCCATCATGGTATAATTTCACATATTTAAGCGTTAAAAGTACAACCCAGTATATAACTCAGTTCACCATTTGAAAAAAAATAAAAATTCACATCGCCCTTTTTGCTCTTTCTCATTTTCTGCTTCTTTATGGGTGGCATTTCATAAAGTTAGTTTTGTTTTCTCTATGCTGCGGTGACATCCAATCTTGGCATCATTGCGCTATAGTTTAGTGACATCCAATCTTGGCACCATTGCGCTATAGTTTAGTGAATTACCTTACGAGATATCTAATATTTGGTAATTGGCAGGTATAAAATGAGTAGTGAAATCATCCGAGAGAACCATTTGCCTAGCTTCACTAAGCTTCCTATTTGTAGCCTCACATGTTCAAGTTGGTGAAGTGTAGGCTTTTTAGTTTTACATAACTGAGTATAAGTTAGATCTTTAATGAGGAAGGGGTGCCCACCACTCGTGGTCTTGATAAATCCTAATTATTTAATTTCATAACATATGTCAGTTTTAGATTAGGTTTGTCAGGTTAGTTCTGGGAGTGAACTTATGCAAATAAAGTTACTAAATAATTATCATGAATAAAGATTAACACCCTGGATCCTTTTTACAAAATATGGTCGTGTTCAACTGTTAGTGGGAGAAAGATACGATGTGTGTTTTAGTATAACTAGTGGATCCTAGTTATCCTACACCCACATATGGCAGGTACTGCTTGATAAAAAGATGTTTAATAGGCCAAAATAGAATCTGTTGCAGTAAATTCAAGTTTATCACTAGAGCATTTAGTAGAATAGAAAGTGTAGTTCGAAGTGAAGTTTACCGTGGGTATGGGGTTCTATTTGTAGGTGATGATTCTGGTTTTGTCCAGTAGGAGCATCTGAGATATGCAGGATTATGGCTCCCAAGACATGTGGACTAGTTGATGGTAATTGTTTAGAGGGTCTCAGCGATTTGAGAAGTTGGTTTCTAGTTGTGCCCAATGGCATCATGTGATCCATCTACCTAAAGGGACAAGGCTTTTCTTGTTGTTGTTTGAGGAAATGAGCATTTTGCATATGCAATAAACATAATTACCATATTTGCAGTTGTTGCTGCTGCTTGAATTCATATTTTTATAACCATGTTATTCATATTATAAACTTCCAGTTAAAAGCATATTTGAACATTTTGTGATGCAAAAAGTTATGAGAAATTTCTCTAATTTGGAGTAAGCTTCGAGGTTTGTTATAAAGACAAGTATCAAACCTTAGTATTAATTTCTTGTGAGTGAGTACACTGTCAAAGGGGTTCCGTGACCCTAGTTAGATGAAACACACACCGCATACTGAGTATATACTTCCAATATGTTCAAAGTTTATTTTAATGATTGATTGAAGGTGTGAACAACTCATTTCCGTGTAATGGACATTACCTATCAATTTATTATCTATGTATTGAACTGTTGAGTTTAAAGTAAGTTTACAGCTTTCAACAAGTTCAAACTTTATTTTAATTGAAGTTTTTTTTATTGATTGGTGGTGACAAATTCTGAAAGAAGAAAATACCAGTTTGGAGAATCATTTACCGCAGATGGTAGTATCTAGATGCTGGCATGCTTCTATACCAAAAGTGAGTGCAGGATTGGTATCAGGCAAGAACAGAATCATAAAGGATGTAATTGATGATAATACTGTGTTGTATGTCTAGTTTAGCTGTTATAAAGCTTGGATGTTGACAGTTTTTCCTAGTGACATTCGCAACCTGAATTCTGTAATAGTTTTTTGTAAATTTAATTAATAATCATGTGACTTATTTAGTTTCATGTTGCAATTCTAAGCCAGTCTATGGGTGAAGTGTAAATTTAATGGACTAAAAAAATTGAGAGGAAGACGGTTTGAGTTGTTTGAATTAAAAAAGAAAAAAGAAAAAAAAAGTGAGAAGATACAAGAAAAGAAAAAAATTATAATTGAAAAGGTTGATTTAATTATTTTAAAAAAATAATAAGATAAATCAATAAAAGAATATTTTTTATTTAATTTAATAAAAAAATATATAATTTATAATTAAAATATCTTTTAATATGAAATAAATATTTATTAAGATAGATATAAATAAATAATAATTTATATATAAATTATATTATATTATATTGTCAAAATCATTTACAGAAGTTGTAATTTTTTATATATGTTTTTATATAATAAATTGAAAGTATACTAGACAATTATTTATTTAAATTAATAATTATAATTTACTATTTGTATTATTTTTAAAATAATACAACATAATTATTAATCATTTAATATTAAAAAATAATACAACCAACTTAGAAATCATTCAATATTAGTACAAATATCTTATTATTTTATCTTTGTTATTTTTTTTATTTGTAGAATTAGATCTATATTTTAATTTTCATATGTAAAATTAGATATAATCAAGTTTAACTTGGATGATTGTTATGTTCATTCTAAAATTTATTTAGTATACATTTTTAAAGATAAAATTAATGTTTTTTTTTACTTTAAAATAAATATTGTGGAGGATATTAGATAAAAAAATTAAAAAAACTTTAAAATTTTATGTATTGTTTTTTTATAAAATTTATATTATTTTGTATAAATTTGTTAATTTTAATAAAATGTTTATGATTTACTAGATTTTATATAAAAAATTATGAATAATTTATGATAAGAAAGTTTGTATTAGTATAAATATTGATATAATAAATAAGAAAATTAGACTTACATTATTTTCTTTTAATATATATATATATATATATATATATGTATATATATAACTTAATTTTTTAAGTGATTTTTACATATTATAATTAATGTTTTTAAAATTAGAAAAGTAAATAAATGTTTAAAGTTTGATCGAAATTCAAGGTCCAACTAAGAGTATTTAAATAATATTTTGTAATAAAAAAAACATATATAATAAATTTATTAGTTATAATATTTTTAATTAAAAAATTTAAAAAATAAAATATATTATATTTTTTATAAAAAATATATTAAAAAATTAAATTTTTATTAAAAATTAAAAATTAAAAATTAAAAAAGTTAATTAGTTTTATTGGTTTTGTGATAATTTAATTTAAATTCAATTATTTAAAAATAATAAATCAATTTTTAGATAATTTTTAATATATACTCACTTAATATTTAAAAAGTTACTTTTGAATCTAATATAAATAATTTAATTCAAAACTAACATTTATTTAAATTTTGTAAATAAATTATATATTTTTCAGCAAAAAGTTATGTGACTTGGTATATACTTTCAAAATTATATATTTTTAATATAAAGTAATTAGTTAATAAAATAAACAAATATAAATAAAATTTAAAATTAAATTATATATAAATTTGAAAAATATGATATTTTATTAAAATATTTATACTTTATAATTTATCTTTATAATAGTTTATAAATTTACTATGTAATTTCCTTTTATATTATGTTATGGAAAATATTATACGCATATTTATAAATGTCATGGAAATAATATAATTTATTAAAATATATGATTAAAAATTTGATTAAAGTTATAATATTTTAAATTACTAAATTTTAGAAAACCGAAATATTATTTTAAATTTGTTAAGAAAATCCTTTTAAAATAAGTTAAAGTTTCTTTTAAAAAGTCATAATTATAAAAATAACTTAATGATTATACTGTGAAAAATATATCTTCTTATAATTAAAAATATATATAAATTTATTAATCATTATTTGCTTATAATTTAAATTAATTTTCAAATAATTTATAATTAAATATCATCAAAAATTTTATGATTAAAAGAAAATAGTTAATTAGTTATTGAGAAAGACAATATTTAAATAAGGATAAATTGAATTTCTAGTGGTTACAACTCACTTTCCTCCTATTAAATTATAAAAACTGTTTTGTGAACTCACTAACTCATGCCTCTCAATTAAAAGAGAGGCATAAGTTTATGATTTGTAAGTTTTAAACATAAATTAAACAAAACAACTGAATAAAAGGAATATAGAGGTAAAATTAATTATAATTAAATCATTCTGATATTAACATTTAAAATTTATTAAAAATTACAAAAATTTTTAATAAACTTTTGTCAATAATAATGTATTAAATTGATTATGTACAAAATTAATAGTAAATGAGTGTATCTATTTCTATCACTTAAATTAATAGTAAATGAGTGCTAATAGCAATTTTTAAAAACATTATCTTCTTGTAGTTAAAATTAATTACAAGTTGAAATTACAAACTTATGAATGTAATTATTAATTAAATAAAGGTAGGATTCATACAAAATTTTGAAAATGGGCGAGATTCTCACAAGTTTATAGTTTCCATGAAATTTTTGAAAAAAGAAATGTATTAAAATCAGGGAATTTTTAATTCAACCAAATATTTTTTTTATTGCGATTTGTTCAGATTTGGGCTCTTATTTCGAAAATATAATCAAACTGCATATCATTTTATTTATATAACACATGATATTAACAGCAATTTTCAAAATCACATTAAAACAAACCTAAAAAAAATTAACAAACAGTTAAAACAAACCTAAAAGATGGTTTAGTTTCGATTTGATAATACATTCAAATGGATAAAGATCATACAAAAACCTACATACATTTTTTATATTTAATTTATTTGAATGTAGATACCTAAAACAAAATTCAGACACAATTAATTTTCATTCAAAATTAAATTTTTGTCCTCACAATTTACGTTGAATATAAAAACAATAATATATATATTATCACGTGCTTATCAAGAAAAGCACATGTGTCAGACTTGGGAAACAACCTACCCGTTAACCCGTCTTTTGGAAAAGGAAACGAAAGGTCCTTTATTCAAAAACGAAAAAAGAAAGTCCTAAAAGAAATCAATCACAGCCGTGCGTGCAACACACGTGCGCTTATGAGAGAGGAGTATAATATGATGGGCGCGTGCACCTCCCAATAGAGTAAACAAACCCGAGCATAATACGGAACCTGAGGTTTAAGAAAACACTTTACCCTTTTTATTCTATTCTATTTTCTTCTCTTCTTCCCTGAGGTTTTAACGCTGGGGTTTCAGTGTTCACTCTCTATTTTTCTCTCTCACTCTGTTTCTCTTTCTTTGGGCATAGCCATGGATAGGTACCAGAAGTTGAAGAAGCCTAAGCCCGAGTCTCCAATCAACGAGAATGAGATCCGAATCACAACCCAGGGCGCGATTCAGGTCCTTTAATGTTCGGTTACCTTTCGTGAATGTGTTGATGATTCAGTACAATGAGAAACCTTCGCCTTTTGTCCGGATTGGGGTTTTCATTCAGGGTTGCATTTTCGGGCTTTGGGACTTGGTTTTGTTTATTTGTTTGTTTGTTTGCTGAATGCTAGTGTGTGGGGGTTGGATTGGCAGGGTTTTGTAGATTACCCTAGCTTTTGAAACTATTGAAGAATGGTAAAATGTAGTCACCAATCACATGCAAATGCAATAGCAACATTGCAGCACTTTTTGGCTGGAGCCCGCAATGGATTTTTAGCCTAGAAGGCATTTAGAGGTCTTGTCTGTCACATAAATTGCATCCTTTCTGAAAACCCTATTTTGCCCCATTCAGACTTTTCCTGTCCTATTGTTTTTGGAATTATTTTTTGTTGTTTCTCCCAACATACGGCACCAGCAAACCTGAAGCTTTGTTTTGTTCATTTTCCACCCTTATTCACATTTAAGGCAAACTGCAGCTCATCTCATCTATCCTCAAGAGCTCCGGCTCACACTAATCACCTTACCTTTTCTGGCCAATCCCTGCATTTTCTTGTCTCTACAACGCTACTTATTGTTGCCCCCTGCTACTCAAAATCTACAACACTATTTACCCTCTGTTCCTTTACGCAACCCTTACTACTATTATGCTTTTCTAAGACTTCCATCTTATTAATTACGAATGTCTTCAATTTTGTGTGTATATATATACACGCGAGAGAGAGAGAGAGAGAGAGAGAGAGAGAGAGAGAGAATGAGAATTTAAATGAGTAAGTATAATTAATTAACTTGTATTTTTAATCAGAAAATTATGTTATAGAAGTAGAAGGACTTGAAACAGTTAGAAAATCATATTATCAAAATATTACTAAACTTGGTAGGGTTGGTACATAGATCAAACAATGCCCTTAAGCTGGTATCAGATACGAAATTCACAAGATCAGATTGATATGGTGTTTTGTTTTGGTATTGACCATGTTAACGATATTATCTTCTATTTATTTATTATTTTGCTCTGATGCATTTGTCGGTCTTCTCACATAACCACACTGTATTTTTTGAGTTGGTATCATCTCTTTGAATAGGTGTTTCTTCAACATTGTTCTGATTGCATTCTCTCAATCATTTCCATTGGAAATCTATTGTAAATTGTAATAATGATGGTTCTGTGTATATTTTGGAGCTTAGGTTCCCCAATACCCAAGTGCATTTAGTTTGTTGATTTTTTCTTTTCGTCGAGCATATTTTATAACTTGAAAATTCACCTAGCGCAGAAAAGAATTTGTTTTGTTGTCATTTTTCCATTCATCTTCAAATTGAGACCATGTATTGATTGTCCAATTATTTGGTTCACATTGTGTTGTTTAATATTCTTGCGTAATTTACATGATGCAAAATTTGCTTAAGAATATGCATGTTGCTTTATTTTTTATGATTTATGAATTCATGTTGCTTAAGAATATGCATTAACCCAGCTAGCAGATCTACATCAAGCCAGGCTCGCCAATATCCGCAAGTTCTCTTGGCACCCTATGCTCCAGCTAGATTTTGGGATCTTAACCACCTTTGGTTGGGATCAAGATGTAAGAAGGTACATCCAAGGCATAGGGTGGGACTTTCTGCTCCGCGAGCCACCTTCCCGTATTTACCGCACTGCCACCATGGAGTTTCTAGCCTCCGTCACGATGGTGGACATACCATCCCCGATCCCCGGTATACCTCCTGCTAAGGCGGTCTCCTACTGGATGAATGGGGCCTACCGGAGTTCAATGCTGGACAGTTTCAACATCATTATGGGCTTTCATCAGACTGCAGACACCTCGACTGTAGAGTACATGACTGCGTATTGTGAAAGACCAGCCACCCTCACCACCAGTGAGATGTGGGAGGATATTACGGGTTCCCAACACGTCCCGACCCATCTGAAGGGCACAACTTTTCTCCCCCCACTTCGCATCTGTCACAAGTTGCTGGCAGGAACTCTTCACAGCAGGAAGGAGAGTCAGGGGAAAGTGACTTTGGCTGATCTTTTTGTCATCTACTGCATGCACCGGGGATATCGATGCAACCCTGGATATTTCTTCCTGAAGGCACTGAAGGATTTTGGGACCCGAGGTCCAGCAAGGACCATCATGATGGCCCTTCTCATCACACCTTTGGCCGAGTATTGGGGATGCCCCGATGGAGAGGACATTCCCACAGCCCTCCGACCAGAGCTTATCGACGGGTCGATGCTCGCCAATATGAGCATCCTCACCCGACAGGGCACCGGGTTTGTCTTGCACCCTCACCTCTCTGTAGCGAATGACTTTCACCACATGGACTCTTCACAATCTCAGAAGATCCCCATACCTCCAGAGTTTCAACAGCAGCATTATGAGCATGATTTTGTTGGTGTCCACCGACACATGGATGATGAGCATGCCTATATGGAGAGCCAATTCCAGTTCATGCGCCAACAATTTGATCAGATAACTCTGAGGCAGGAGAGATACGATCAAAGACAGGAGGGATTGATCCACAGAATGTATGACCTTATGCAGACAGTAGGTGGGATTAAACAAGATTTAAAGAGCCTAATCCAGAGCCAGGAGGAGTTTCAGCGTCGCATGCTCCGCTGATTCCCCTCACCAGCACCTTCCTCAGCATCTAGCTCAGAGCCGAAGGGTTAAGATGCTTTGTTATTTTTTTGTAGCCTAGGGTTTTTGTTGTTTGAATCCCAAGCACTACAAAATTTATAAATGAAATCCTTTGTTATTTGCCTATAGTTTGGTGAATTACCTTACGAGATATCTAATATTTGGTAATTGGCAGGTATAAAATGAGTAGTGAAATCATCCGAGAGAACCATTTGCCTAGCTTCACTAAGCTTCCTATTTGTAGCCTCACATGTTCAAGTTGGTGAAGTGTAGGCTTTTTAGTTTTACATAACTGAGTATAAGTTAGATCTTTAATGAGGAAGGGGTGCCCACTTTTGGTCTTGATAAATCCTAATTATTTAATTTCGTAACATATGTCAGTTTTAGATTAGGTTTGTCAGGTTAGTTCTGGGAGTGAACTTATGCAAATAAAGTTACTAAATTATCATGAATAAAGATTAACACCCTGGAACCTTTGTACAAAATATGGTCGTGTTCAACTGTTAGTGGGAGAAAGATACGATGTGTGTTTTAGTATAACTAGTGGATCCTAGTTATCCTACATCCACATATGGCAGGTACTACTTGATAAAAGGATGTTTTAATAGTCCAAAATAGAATCTGTTGCAGTAAATTCAAGTTTATCACTAGAGCATTTAGTAGAATAGAAAGTGTAGTTTGAAGTGAAGTTTACCATGGGTATGATGGGGTTCTATTTGTAGGTGATGATTCTGGTTTTGTCCAGTAGGAGCATCTGAGATATGCAGGATTATGGCCCCCAAGACGTGTGGATTAATTGATGGGAATTGTTTAAAGGGTCTCGTGAATAATATCTTTGAGAAGTTGGTTTCTAGTTGTGCCCAATGGCATCATGTGATCCATTTACCTAAAGGGACAAGGCTTTTCTTGTTGTTGTTTGAGGAAATGAGCATTTTGCATATGCAATAAACATAATTACCATATTTGGAGTTGTTGCTGCTGCTTGAATTCATATTTTTATAACCATGTTATTCATGTTATAAACTTCCAGTTAAAAGCATATTTGAACATTTTGTGATGCAGAAAGTTATGAGAAATTTCTCTAATTAGTAGTAAGCTTCGTTTGTTATAAAGACAAGTATCAAACCTTAGTATCAATTTCTTGCTAGTGAGTAAACTGTCAAAGGGGATCCCTGACCCTAGTTAGATGAAACACACCGCATACTGAGTATATGCTTTCAATATGTTAAAAGTTTATTTTAGTGATTGATTGAAGGTGTGAACAACTAATTTCCATGTAATGGACATTACCTATCAATTTATTATGTATTGAACTGTTGAGTTTAAGGTAAGTTTACAGCTTTCAACAAGTTCAAACTTTATTTTAATTGAAGTTTTTTTTTTATTGATTGGTGGTGACAAATTCTGAAAGAAGAAAATACCAGTTTGGAGAATCATTTACCGCAGATGGTAGTATCTAGATGCTGGCATGCTTCTATACCAAAAGTGAGTGCAAGATTGATATCAGGCAAGAACAGAATCATAAAGGATGTAATTGATGATAATACTGTGTTGTATGTCTCTAGTTTAGCTGTTATAAAGCTTGGATGTTGACAGTTTTTCCTAGTGACATTTGCAACCTGAATTTTGTAATAATTTTTTGTAAATTTAATTAATAATCATGTGACTTATTTAGTTTCATGTTGCAATTCTAAGTCAGTCTATGGTGAAGGGTAAATTTAATGGACTAAAAAAATTTGAGAGGAAGACGGTTGGAATTGAGTTGTTTGAATTAGAAAAAAAGAAAAAAGAAAAAGTAGAAAGTGAGAAGTGTTGGAATTTACTTGGAGTGGAATGTATGTGATTACGGACAAAATGAGGGAGTGGATTGGTTTTTTATAAAAATTAAGATTTTAATTTTTTTTTCAAATTTTATTGATTAAAATTATTTTTAAAATTAAGATATAAGAGAAATAAGATTACACAAATAATTTATACTTGGTTTAGATCAAAAAATTATATGTCTAATTTTTAATCATTTTAAATGAGGATTAATTCGGTCACTAAAATATTGTTTTAAATAAATAATAAATTGTAAAAGATAAAGATAAGAAAAACATATCTTTTGAGTCATACAAGAGATGAATACCTCTTTTGAAGTCACAAAGGATGATTTGTTTTTCCTAGAGACGGTATAACATACAATTTATCAAAAAACTCACTATTTCTAGTTTACATTAGGTTTCAAAAACCTTTTTTTTTCTTTTCTACTCAAAGTTTTTTAGAGAGCTTGAGAGATCCTTAAATAGAGATTTTAGAGTTTGGGATTTAGGGTTTCTAAAAATTAGGTTAAAATTTGAATTTCAAATTTCCAACTGACATAGATAATCGATTATTATAAGTGATAATTGATTATTCTAGTGACAATTCTAATTTTAAATGCATAACAGTTCAAGATAATTGATTATTTCAGATAATAATTGATTATTTCAAAGACATTTTTAGAGAATTAATATTTACCCAAGATAATTGATTATCATAAGGAAATAATCGATTATTCAAGTGAACATGATAAGAATGAATCATCTATTGATAGACTATGTATTGACTATCATAGAATCTATTTTTTATAGACTTAAAATAACAAAACAGAGTTATTATAAACAAATTTAATATATATATATATATATATATATATATATATATATAAGTCTTTTAATCTTGAAGTTTTTTATTCTTGAATCATCATCAAAATCTCCAGGTATGATACTTTTACATTTTCACGAGAAGATACAAGAAAAGAAAACAAAAATCATAATTGATAAGATTGATTTAATTAATTAAAAAAAATAATAAGATAAATCAATAAAATAATATTTTTTTATTTATAATTAAAATATCTTATAATATGAAATAAATATTTATTAAGATAGATATAAATAAATATTTATATATATTTTTATATAATATATTAAAAGTATACGAGACAATTATTTATTTAAATTAATAATTATAATTTAGTATTTGTATTATTTTTAAAATAATACAACATAACTATCAATCATTTAATATTAAAAAATAATACAACCTACTTGGAAATCATTCAATATTAGTACAAATATCTTATTATCTTATCTTTGTTATTTTTTATTTTTATTTGTAGAATTAGATCTATATTTTAATTTTTATATGTAAAATTAGATATAATCAAGTTTAACTTGGACGATTGTTATGTTCATTCTAAAATTTATTTAGTATAAATTTTTAAAGATAAAATTAAGGTTTTTTACTTTAAAATAAATATTGTGGAGGATATTAGATAAAAAAATTAAAAAAACTTTAAATTTTTATGTATTTGTTTTTTTATAAAATTTATATTATTTTGTATAAATTTGTTAATTTTAATAAAATGTTTATGATTTACTAGATTTTATATGAAAAATTATGAATAATTTATGATAAGAAAATTTGTATTAGTATAAATATTGATATAATAATAAATATTAATATATATTAATATATATATATATATATATAACTTAATTTTTTAAGTGATTTTTATATATTATAATTAATGTTTTTAAAATTAGATAAGTAAATAAATGTTTAAAGTTTGATCGAAATTCAAGGTCCAATTGAAATAATATTTTTACAATAAAAAAACATATATAAAAAATTTATTAGTTATAATATTTTTTATAAAAAATTAAAAAATACTATTTTTTTTATAAAAAATATATTAAAAATTTTAATTTTTTTGTTTTATTAAAATTTAAAAAATTTATTCAATTTTGTTGGTTTTGTCATAATTTAATTAAAATTCAATTATTTAAAAATAATAAATCAATTTTTAGATAATTTTTAATATATACTCACTTAATATTTAAAAAGTTACTTTTGAATCTAATATAAATAATTTAATTCAAAACTAACATTTATTTAAAATTTTGTAAATAAATTATATATTTTTCAGCAAAAAGTTATGTGACTTGGTATATACTTTCAAAATTATATATTTTTAATATAAAGTAATTATTTAATAAAATAAACAAGTGGTTACAACTCACTTTCCTCCTATTAAATGAGAAAAACTGTTTTATGAACTCAATAACTTATGCTTCTGCAGTCAAAAGAGAGGCATAAGTTTATGATTTGAAGTTTCAAACATAAATTAAACAAAACAACTGAATAAAAGGAATATAGAGGTAAAATTAATTATAATTAAATCATTCTGATATTAACATTTAAAATTTATTAAAAACTACAAATTTTTTAATAAACCTTTGTCAATAATAATGTATTAAATTGATTATGTACAAAATTAATAGTAAATGAGTGTATCTATTTCTATCACTTAAATTAATAGTAAATGAGTGCTAATAACAATTTTTAAAAGCATTATCTTCTTGTAGTTAAAATTAATCACAAGTTGAAATTACAAACTTATGAATGTAATTATTAATTAAATAAAGGTAGGATTCATACAAAATTTTGAAAATGGGCAAGATTCTCACAAGTTTATAATTTCCATGAAATTTTTGAAAAAAAAAGTATTAAAATAAGGGAAATTTAAATTCAACCAAAATAGAATCAAACTGCCTATCATTTTATTTATATAACACATGATATTAACAACAATTTTCAAAATCACATTAAAACAAACCTAAAAAAAAATTAACAAACAGTTAAAACAAACCTAAAAGATGGTTTAGTTTAGATTTGATAATACATTCAAATGGATAAAGATCATACAAAAACCTACATACATTTTTTATATTTAATTTATTTGAATGTAGATACCTAAAACAAAATTCAGACACAATTAATTTTCATTCAAAATTAAATTTTTGTCCTCATAATTTACGTTGAATATAAAAACAATAATATATATATTATCACGTGCTTATCAAGAAAAGCACATGTGTCAGACTTGGGAAACAACCTACCCGTTAACCCGTCTTTGGAAAAGGAAACGAAAGGTCCTTTATTCAAAAACGAAAAAAGAAAGTCCTAAAAGAAATCAATCACAGCCGTGCGTGCAACACACGTGCGCTGATGAGAGAGGAGTATAATAAGATGGACGCGTGCACCTCCCAATAGAGTAAACAAACCCGAGCATAATACGGAACCTGAGGTTTAAGAAAACACTTTACCCTTTTTATTCTATTCTATTTTCTTCTCTTCTTCCCTAGGGTTTTAACGCTAGGGTTTCAGTGTTCACTCTCTATTTTTCTCTCTCACTCTGTTTCTCTTTCTTTGGGCATAGCCATGGATAGGTACCAGAAGGTGGAGAAGCCTAAGCCCGAGTCTCCAATCAACGAGAATGAGATCCGAATCACAACCCAGGGCGCTATTCGCAACTACATCACCTACGCCACTTCGCTTCTTCAGGTCCTTTAATGTTCGGTTACCTTTCGTCAATGTGTTGATGATTCAGTAGAATGAGAAACCATCGCCTTTTGTGCGGATTGGGGTTTTCTTTCAGGGTTGCATTTCCGGGCTTTGGGACTGGGTTTTGTTTATTTGTTTACTTGTTTGTTTGTTTGTTTGCTGAATGCTAGTTTGTGGGGGTTGGATTGGCAGGGTTTGGTTTGTGATATGTGGCATTTTGTGTTTTTGTTTGTTTTCGTATGACCTTTGGTTTTGGAAACTCTTTATTTGCGATAGAATGCGTTTTATGTGGGTTGAGTATTGAGATTGTCTCCTTAGTTTCTGGATTGTTCAGATTGTTGGCTGTATGTTTTGATATGGTACTTTTAGTTTGTTTCACTATTTGGGGCTTATTTTTTGATGATCAATGTCTTGTTTTATTATGATGATAACAAACACGGTGCTTACGTTACATATAGTAATTGGAGAATGGGGGCGATGCTTTATGTCTGCGTTCTGCCTCTTTGTTACAGAACTGATTTAAATTGCCCCTTTTCATTGGTGGAGTTATTCAGTGCAATAGGGAAAGTCAAGGTTTCTATGGAAAAAAATGTGGCCGTTATTTGGCAACTGCTAAATTGTGGGAAAAATGTGACTTATGTGGCTTCTGTGTTGGTTGCCATCCAATTGTGGACGCCTTCAAAATTGAATTGTTGTGGCCTCAATTTGAAAGCTTTGGGAAATCACACTATAAAGCTGTGCTGTGGATATGTACTAGGGTTTTGTAGATTACCCTGGCTTTTGAAACTATTGAAGAATGGTAAAATGTGGTCACCAATCACATGCACATGCAATAGCAACATTGCAGCACTTTTTGGCTGGAGTCCGCAATGGATTTTTAGCCTAGAAGGCATTTAGAGGTCTTGTCTGTCACATAAATTGCATCCTTTCTTAAAACCCTATGTTACCCCCATTCAGACTTTTCCTGTCCTATTGTTTTGGAATTATTTTTTGTTGTTTCTCCCAACATACGGCACCAGAAAACCTGAAGCCTTGTTTTGTTCATTTTCCACCCTTATTCACATTTATGGTAAACTGCAGCTCATCTCATCTATCCTCAAGAGCTCCGGCCCACACTAATCACCTTACCTTTTCTGGCCAATCCCTGCATTTTCTGGCCTCTACAACGCTACTTATTGTTGCCCCCTGCTACTCAAAATCTACAACACTACTTACCCTCTGTTCCTTTACGCAACCCTTACTGCTATTATACTTTTCTAAGACTTCCATCTTATTAATTACGAATGTCTTCAATATTGTGTGTATATATATACATGCAGAGAGAGAAGATGGGAATTTAAATGAGTATAGTATAATTAATTAACTTGTATTTTTAATCAGAAAGTTATGTTATAGAAGTAGAAAGACTTGAAACAGTTAGAAAATCATATTTTCAAAATATTACTAAACTTGGTAGGGTTGGTACATAGATCAAACAATGCCCTTAAGCTGGTATCAGATACGAAATTCACAAGATCAGATTGATATGGTGTTTTGTTTTGGTATTGACCATGTTAACTGTATTATCTTATATTTATTTATTATTTTGCTCTGATGCATTTGTCGGTCTTCTCACATAACCACACTGTCTTTTTTACTTGGTATCATCTTCTCTTCAATATGTGTTTCTTCAACATTGTTCTGATTGCATTCTCTATCAATCATTTTCATATTGTTGTTCTTTTAACAAGAACTGTGGTAATTGAAATTTTACAATTTCTGATTCAAACTTTCCAATTCAATCCAATAAATAAGGACAACAATTCCAATCCAAAGTTCCATTAGAAATCTATTGTAAATTTTAATAATGATGGTTCTGTGTATATTTTGGTGCTTAGGTTCCCTAATACCCAAGTGCATTTAGTTTGTTGATGCTTTCTTTTCATCGAGCATATTTTATCACTTGAAAATTCACCTAGCCCAGAAAAGAATCTGTTTTGTTGTCATTTTTCCATTCATCTTCAAATTGAGACCATGTATTGATTGTCCAATTATTTTGTTCACATTGTGTTGTTTAATATTGTTGCGTAATTTACATGATGCAAATTACTCATGATTCCATTTAGGAAACCACATTGACGGTTAGTTTATTCCTCACATTTTTATGCTTGTGCTTTTAATTAGATTGTGAGCACTTGTAGCTTAAGTTATATTTTTAAAATATATTGATTTAAGATTCACTTACTTTTTTCTATTAACTAAATTTAATGTTTGTGGTTGACTTGTTAAACATGAAGCTTGTGCTTGGTTTTGTTAGGTAAAAAAATTGGCTTGGTTCCTGTATTAAATATAATCTTTGAGTTATTTTTAACTCTATTTGTTTTGTAATGTTTTATTATTGTTATTGACACACTCCAATGATAAATTTGTCTTGTTATGCCTTCTTATTGTTTTGTGTTGTAATAAATCCAGGAAAAGAATGCAAGAGAGATTGTCTTAAAGGCAATGGGACAAGCAATCAGCAAGACTGTTGCCATTGCAGAGATTTTAAAGGTTAAATTTCCTTGCAAGATGTTCTTCTTGTACATGTTATATCTTCTTTGAAATATATGCAAATCACTGTCTAGCATATGTTTCTAGTAATTGTTGAACACGCAAAAAATGCAAATAACCTTAAAATAATTGGCAGTAAAAATGGGAAAGTCACCTGGTATATAGTATATGGTTGCTAAAGTTAGTATAATATAATCTGGAAAATACGATATACTTTAATATTCAGATTAGTTTTTTCATTTTTTCCTTTCTCTCATAACAGAAGAGAATTCCCAGGATGCACCAAGATACTGGCATAAGCTCAGTTAGCATAACAGATGTGTGGGAACCCATTGAAGAGGGTCTTGTACCGTAAGTGTTCTTTAAATTTTTAATCTGCATGCATCTTTATATATTTTGGTGGCTAAGATTGAATATCAACGTTTAATGCAGTGTGGAAATGACTCGACATGTCTCTATGATCTCAATCACCCTATCAGCTAGAGAATTAAACAAAAATTCTCCTGGGTTAGTTTTTAACAAAATTGGGTGATGTTTTTTAATATTTTCATTCAATTGAATTATTGCCTGTGAAAATGGTCTTTAGAGATAATTCTCTAAGCCTATATTTGGAATCCTCTTCTGGACTGTTTAATCTGACAAATTTGGGATGCTGTCTATATGATTTTGTTTATAGGTATCAAGCTCCAAGTAGTGTCGAACAACCAAAACCACAGGTCAATTATCAACAGCAACCGATAAAACCAGCACGTGTTCCATATAATGCTGTAAATGAAGGTGACCCTGCATATATCTACTACAATAATTAATCATGAGAATATTAAATACAATAATTTTTAACTTTTATCACATCTAATATATCTATACAGATTCATATGGACGAGGACGAGGCCGCGGTCGGGGGAGAGGAAGAGGAAGGAATTGGGGAAGGGGTGGTTATGGCTATCAAGGTGGTTATGGAAATTATCAAGGCGGATATGGATACTACCAGGGGGGGTATGCAAATTATCAAGGTATTATCCATTCTGATGACTGAGTTGTAGTACTTTGGTTGTTCATCATATTTTGGGTGTTTATTTACTTTTCTTTCTGGTTAGGCATTTTAATTGTGCTTGTTACTTTGTAGATAATGGTGGGTATTCAAATCGGGGACGAGGTGGTGGGCGAGGTAGAGGTTGGGGGTATCGAGGTGAGTTTACTTAGACTAATTCTCTCCATTTTTTGTGATGATGTATGTTTTGATATTTTCTTTCTATGGTGATGTAAAGAACCAATCTTCTGTTGTCTATGAAAAAAAAAAGGTTTTTTCCATTCTTGGTATGGTCTTGTGTCAATGCCTGGAAAAACTTGTTATGCATGTCTGGAAGATGTTTGTCCAGTTTGTTCAATGTGATCCTTCAACTGTCTCATTTTGCAGCAGGTACTGGTTATGACGGTGGCAGGGGTGGAGGTGCAGGGTATGAAGGTGGCAGAGGTGGAGGTGCAGGGTACGAGGGTGGTAGAGGTGGTGGGTATGAAGGTAGCAGAGGTGGTGGGTATGAAGGGGGCAGAGGTGGTGGGTATGAAGGGGGCAGAGGTGGTGGGTATGAAGGGGGCAGAGGTGGTGGGTATGAAGGGGGAAGAGGTGGTGGGTATGAAGGTGGTAGAGGTGGTGGGTATGAAGGTGGAAGAGGTGGTGGATATGAAAGAGGCAGAGGTGGAGGAAGGGGTTATGGGCGTGGTAGGGGTCGAATGGGTGGACGTACAAGGGGTGGTGGAAACCAGGCATGATTGCAAAGGGTGCTCTTGTCATTCTTGCTGAATGCTTGCCTTGACAGTCGGGTAAATGTTTTAAGAATACTGTGTTGATAGTGTGATGTGGCTCATGCATGATCCAGCATTATTAGGCAGTATTTTATGTTTCTTTTGTCATGAAATTGAAATGGGCAAGGTTTTGTTCATCTTTAGAGTTAGTTGCAAAGCATCTTGGTTTTATGATTGCTGTAATTCATTTCAACTTTTTATGGTTGCTAATACCATATTTTTATCTGTATCTGGTTTATATATGGCTTTTATTTTAATCAAAAGTAGTTTTTTTTTTTTAATAAACTGGCGTGGTTCAAATAAACCCTTTTTTTACGTAGACAACTACATGTATAGTGCGGATTGTAAATTGTGAATTCCATCTGCATAAAGAGTTTAAAGTTTTTTTAATGTAGGAGGGTAATTTGGTATATTAATAATGCTGGTTGACAAAGGAGTAATCAATTTGTATTTTTATTTTTGAAAAATTTAATTGATGTCTTGATGGGTTGATGTACTGTTGTAAATTCCTATTTGTGTGACGAAGTTTGCCTAATTCCTATATGCACTGTTGTAAATTAAATTAGTATATAGTGGGATCTTAAATTTTGTTAAAACCTACAGAATTTTGTTATGGCTATCAAATAAAAAATGAAATCTTTGTTTTTTTTATTAAGTATAGTAATTGAAACAAGTTGAAAAATTGAAAATAACATGTGTCTGTTTATTTTGTGATAGTTTGAAATTTTAATTTTGAGGAAAGCTACATACAACATTAAAGCCTCAGTTGAGAAGTTGTAAGAAACAGGGCGGACATGTCCCTATTTTGGATATATTTAAGATGAGGAAATGACAATTTTTTTATTAATTAATTTGTTAATTATATTAAAAAAATGAGAGAAGATAAAAGATTATGATAAATAAAATATTAAGTGTTGTAAAAAAATGTTTAAAGAGAATAACCTTATATATTATTATAAATTATAGATAATGTGTAATAATGAAAAAAGTTATATTATTTAAAATTGATAGAAAATAATAATTTCAAGTTAATTATTAAAAAATAAAATTGACATAATTTTAAATTATATTTAGTTGTCACAATTAAAATTAATAAATTATTGTTTTTTCCTAATGATAATAAATTTAACAGAATAATTAATAATACAGGAGTATTAAATAAATAATTTGATTATATTAAAAATTAATATTTTATAATTATTATATAAAAAATATATTTAATTTAATAATATTTATTGTATGTGTTATTATTATTGTAATAAAAATTATTTTAAAATAAAAATAATAATTAATATAAAATAATATAATATAATAATGCATAAATTATTATTATTATAATTATAGTATTATATTTTTATAATTATTGTTGTGGTTGTAATAAGAAATAATCTCAAATTACGGAACAACATGAATTACTATTAAACTAACCTAGGATAAAACTTTTCATAATAATGACGTACATGGTAACATTAAAAACAAAAACGATTTCAAATACTATCCACTACAGTTGATGTAAAAAAGTTTCTAAAATTGAAATTGGGTTACAGTATAAAGTGTGTATATATATATATATATATATATATATATATATATATATATATTATATAAAACTATTAAAAATTATAAATCATCTACACATAAAATAAATATAAATGATATTTTATATAATAAAAATTATCAATTATTATATAGTTTATATGGTAAGTTCTTCAATAATATTTTTAATATTATTTATTAAACTTAAATTTAGTAAGTTAAAATTTATTTTATCATATATTCTATTTTTTCTTTTAAAAATGAATATATAATTTTTTTATAAATATCTTTAAAATTTAATTCTTTTATATATTTTAACATTTAAATTAATTATAAATTATTAAAATAATTAATTAATTGATAGTAAATAATATACATGGTAATATGTTATAATAGTAAATAAAACAACAACAAAAATTATTCATTTAAAAAAAGAAGTAAAAATTAAAGAGAAAAATTATAATTTTTATATTATAAGTGAAAGGAAAATGCAAATGAAAGAATAATAATGAAAAAAAGAGTATGCAAGTAAAGGAGTGATAAAAAAGAAGTAAAAATATGAAATTGAAATGTAAAAAGTAAAAAGGTAGAAGAAGAAAAATAAAAATCTAAAAATGAGAGAAAGAAATATAACGTTATATGAGAAAAATGATAATTATTATTATTTATAAAAAATATAATAATACATTTTCATATTTAAAATATAATTTTATTTTTATTTTAATTATATATATAATGAGAATTTTGAGGTAAAAAATATTAATTATATTTTGCATAATTTGGTGTTAGATAGAATATTGTAGCCTTAAAACTACATTGTAATTTAAAATATTTAAATATGATTTTAAAAATAACACAATATTAAATTAGATTTTTTATAGGTTATAAACTTATTTTTTTATTATTATTATTATCATTAGTATCATCATCATTATTATTATCATTATCACCATCGAATAATCTTAATTGGTGACAATGTCACTAGAAAAATGTTGTTATTATTTAGCAACAATTTGTGATAGTTTAAAATTGTACCCACTAATTTACATTATAATTTTGAGCAGTAGTAAAAAATATCTAAGAATTGGTAAAAAAAACTGATAATAGATTAAAATTAATTTCTTTTATTAATTTGGATTTTACTTTTGAAATTAAAGGGTTTTATTTATTTAATCAGGAATCGCAAATATAAATTATTTAAGTTTTTTTTATAGCAACACTAATTTAGTTTGTCAATGGTACCATGTGTTTCTTTTAACAAATTAAGTTTTTTTTTTAAGATTTTTTTTTACAATAACAACTACAAATATCCATCCACCAAATTTAAAAAATTAGTTTGGTTTGATTTATATATAATTTTATATAGAAAAATCCAACCAATAGAATTGCATGCAAATTTTATATTCAGATCAGATTATTTTTTAATAATTAAAAAATTAAATTGCATAGCAAACCTCCCTAGTTTTAAGTCAATAGAAGATTTTATATTTATTTTATTTAATGTTTGTAGTTGGCATTTCGGTTTGTTATTAGATTGATCTAAATCTTAAGTACATAGTAAAATATTAGTTTATGTAATAAATTTGACTCGAGTATTAAAAAAATATAATTTTTTGGCAGATTTATACTAATGTTTAAAATTTAAAGATTCAATGGGACGTAAAAATAATATTTTTATAATAATAAAGTATAATAAATTTATTAATAGAAAAAAATTTAAATAAAAAAATAATAAAGACTCATCGCCATAAATTTTAATAAAAATTATAAATATAAAATATATTAAAAAAATAAAAAATAATTAAAATAAAATAAAAGTAAGACATAATAAATATTATTTAAAATTAATGTAATCAATATAAAAATAAAAAACTAAAATATATTATATCCTTTATAAAAAATTATATTATAAAAAATTGATTTTTTTATCAAAATTATTTCAAAGCCATTTTAAATTTAATTATAAAATTCTATTATATTGAAGTAAAATATTACTTTTTAAACCGATTCTCAATTAATCCGTTTGATTTCATTTTCAAAATAATATTTTATATACACTTTCATTTTTAATACCAAAAATTATGACTTGTTAAATTATATTATTATTATTATTCCTGAAAAAAAAAACGAGAACACCAAATGTAATAATAAAAGACCTACTAACCTACATTTTGCTCCATTTTACATGTAGTTTTGAATGCATAATATATAATAAAATTAGTTGTTAATAGAATGATGGAATATCTTTTGAAATGGTTGCTGGAACTGCAATTTGAGATTTAATGGGAGAAACAACTTGTCTAATACACTTGAACATTCATCCAATGATTTGGATCCATGAAACGTGAACAACTTTGTGGATAGTTGTAGATGACATTTCATGAAAGCATCTAACTGAATCAAGCTTGATTCCTGTCCAGATTCAGTCGCATAAACCCTAAGAAAATGCCAACTCACTCCTCCTCTTTCTCTTTCTCTTCTTTTGTTTCAGATTCTAACTTTTCAACTTGCAATCAATGTTTATGCAGAATGATATTTTGATTCACTCAGATGAGGTTCTTCGTAGTGTCGTCCCATCGCTCAAGACAAAAAGACCACATCCTAATCATTGTTCTCATCAACTTTAACAACAATGTCCTATATACTTCTATTCTATCTTCTGTTCTTCCTTCGAGAATAAATAACTCTTTACAAGTTTTCATAATTTTCTGTTTTATACAATTATTTTGTTATGATTTTGTTTTTTTAGTATATTATTATATAAATTTTGTAGATAAATAATGGTCACGTCATTTTAATTATTTACGTCAAAACATTCACTTAGACAGTTAACGACATGGTTACTAGCTAGAACTAGTTTAAAATAAATTATTATATAAACATTGATCAATTTTTCTTATTTTAATTTTATGTTTTTAATTGATAAATGCAATACTAAAAATAGTAAATATTTAAAACATTTTAAAAAATTACTAAGAATAAAAATAAATATTTTATTATGAATTTCATATTTAAGTTATTTAAAATGAGATAGATAAAAAACATGAATCTAACCCTAATCAAGTAGATTTTTTTTTTTTAATTAATGTGATTTGTAGAAACTCTGAAATGATTAATAGATGCATGCATGGTGATAACACTTGTTAGAGTGATGAAATTGTTTACACAAAAGTCACACAGGGATCGCAAAAATTTAATGAGTGTAATAAAAGGTATTTATGTAAAATTTACTGCAGATTATTTTTGTCAAAATTAATTGATCAGAATTTTTTTATTAATAATGGACTTTCCTAACTTCAACGGTCTTGTCGTTTATTTCTTTTAATACAATAATTACAAATTTATTCTAAATAAATAATTATATTAATTTAAAATTTTATTATTAAAAAATATCAATTAAGTGGGAGAAAAATTCTTAATATTTCATATAT